GGGGGGGGGGGGGGGGGGGGCTTTATGAAGTCTCTTGGGTTAAAGATGATTTTAAACTTCTGGGCAGTTGCAGACAGATTGCTTCTGCCTGAGACCCGAAAGGGCTACAGCTTCCTCGTTCCAACTATAGTACACATCCCGAATTCTGTCACAAGGCAAGGGCCTTGGTAGTTCCGGCTTTCATTTCCGTGATTTACTTAGCACTTTTTCTCGGATGTCCTTGCAACCGATCGTCAAGACCTTCATTTGCACCTCAACCCTCTCCCAGGTGACTTCAGAGAACGGCACCTGCGCCCACGCGTTTCATACACGATTGGTGGACACCTTTTCCAACAAGGCCGCTGCCCTCTCAACTGTAAAGACGCAAATCTGTCAAGGCTTATCTGGAGCAAGTAGAGGCTAATGTAGAACTCCTAAGCCCTAAACCAAAAAACCCGCGATGGGAGGCTTTTCGATTTCAGGGCTCTGCCCTGAACCCTAAGTCTTTCTCTCAGTCTTATGCAAGGCCCACATTAGCCGCAATATTCGTACAGTATAGGTACCGGATTCAAATAGGCCGTAAAAACAACATGATTAATGACAATACATAATCATAACAACGACGAAATACGAAGAAACCTCATAAGTGCTTTCGGTATGCGTTCCAGTATTCTTAAAAGTTCACAGCGGGGTATGGTGTAGTCAAGTTTTCTTATTTCACTCGGCGCCCACGACTCGCAGTCTTTGCTACCATGGTTCATTCAACCGCCCCGCAGCCCATGCAACAAGAAGAAGTAGCTGCAGTTGCTTCAAAAAGTTGTGTATATGTATATATACACAGACATACACGCGTTTGGTGTACATATGCATCTGTATATACGTGTATGTGTGTGTGTCTATGTTACTATAGATCGAAGTATATGTATGCGATTTGCCGGCAAGGTCTGCGTTGAAGTTTTCACAATCAAGACCGAAAACGCAGAGGGACAAGTCCGACACTTGCTGCTTGGTATTATTGAGCCCTGAATAATTGCCAACATTACGCTTTAGAGTTTCGGGGGTTAGGGGAGATTCGGGTTTAGGGTTCAAGATGCAGCTCAAAATTGGTGCAGTCAAAGCTCAACACTGGGTTCACAACTGGCACCAACACTAAGCTCTACACTACGTGCCTGCAGTGATGACCGCTCTGTGCATCGGCGCAGCCCTGCAAAACATGTGTGAAGACGCTGGATGTCAAGCACCGCTGCACGGGTGACCAGCAGACTGTCGCTCTGCGTGGTGGATGGCTGCTACCGCCTGCGATCGTACTCCCAAAGGGTCCTAGGTACTGTTATGGGGGATACTTTCCCAAATCATAATAACAATTCCTACTATAGAATCCCTACATTCTACCATATAGGTACTTTGGACCCTTTGGGACTGCAACCTGCATCGGCTTTCAGGACCTACTGGAGGGACGATAGGCCAGCTTGTTGTCGACAAGAACAGGTAAACGGGATATTTTGCATGAGCTGATTGGCGAGCTTCTTCTGTGAAGCGGGGTCTTCGGATTCTGCCATGCGGGAGCCACAAAACAGTAGATCCTCGAATGTTGAGTTGTTGGATTCAGTGCTTCACGATTCATACAAGTGCAGCCGCAACACTCTGCATTTCGATACACTTACCACTCATTCCTGATGGTGTCTGCAGCCCAATTCCTATTCTGTTTGTTTCAGCCTCCACAGTGTTGCATCAGGATTTTTGGGATGCTGATGTTTGAAACAGGCGTTTCAGCATGCACTTTAGCACAGAAAAGTTAGCAATCATCACACAACAGTTCCGGGTCAAAGCAGTCTCCGACCGAGTCGCGGCTAAAACTTCAGATTTCCGGGTCTTAGTGGCTATGAAGCCTGAGGGATTGACAATATTACTCCTCAGGCTTTCTTAGTATGTTTACTTAGTGACTGAGTAGGTATCCTTTAACCTTTTGGGGTTTATATAATCCTACCATAATTGAAAAGGTTAACCTTTTTTGGGCTAGGGTACTCAGCCCCTAAGTTTAAGATATAACGCGCACCGAAATCCGTTCTACAATCATGAAGGCGCCATTGTCGAAGCCACAGCACCAGCGACTATCGTAGCAGTCGTCGTCGTTGTCGGGAGTCGTCGTGTCAACAGTCATCTGATAATTGTTCGCAGCGGTGTTTGTGTATGTAGTAGTTCGTCGTATGCGGATGGGAGAATCCTGCATCCTCGTAGTCAGCTCAACACTGAACCTGAAACTTGTAAACTTCGTGGCTGTTTCGGATTTTGGTGGGCGATCAACCTGCTTTGAAGCATCGCGGTCAACAAAGTTTGAAGCTGGCTATATCGTTGTGCCGTAAAGCCTGGCACATTTGCAGCGGTCTTGTGTTGAAGCGTACGCAGCTGCAATGCGAGAGGCAAGAACAACGCTGAATGCCTATGCGAGTGAGAGTCGGGTTACCTCTGACTCTTAAATCTGGACCCATACAAAACAGAAGGAAACTTCTGAATCCCAAATCTACCCTAGTAATGATAGTGGCCCTTTTCAAAACCTTAAAGGAAACCTTGTCATGAACCCTAAACCCTAAACCCTAAACCTTCGAAGAACCCTTTAACAACCCCGAGGCTTGGCCTGCGAGACTTTACGGACTGTGCCTCCTTGTCTGCGGAGCGCGCCATGGATGCCATGGATTCCGCGGAGGAGTTTGCTTTAGGGTTGAAGTTTAGGGGTTTAGGGTTTAAGGTTTAGAGTTTAGGGTTTAGGGATTTAGTTTAGGCTTGCATGATTATATGCTCAATATTTCAAGGTCACTAGATCAACCAAGAACCAAACCTCGTGTCGGGCCCTGCATACAGCATGACCTATCTTATGGGGCCTATGTATGCTCGGAGCTGCGCGGTTTGATGTTGACCCTTCGGGAAAATCATCAACATGGGTACATTGCAGTCTGCATATACAGGGCCGAAGAAGACGCCTGCAAAGCGTGTGGCTACCATAGTAGAAATCCCAAAACCCTAAGCCGTATGCCTGTAGCCCAAGGCCTGAAGTGGACCTTACAGCAACCCAACAGCGCCTGGAGAAGGAGTTGCCGTTCTCTTTCTCCTGGCCAGTATCGGTTGCAGAGAGCCCCGTGGCTGATAAGAACCCACATCGTCCATGCAAGCGTCTGCTCCCGATGTGCCGTTTAGAAAAGGAAAGGCCCAACGCTGCTAATGTTATGTTGTGACGGGAAGAATATTGGAATACATATTCCGCGCCTCTGCTGTGTATCTGTCCGACCCAGAATAGAGTTAATCTTGGGGCCTGTTTCTTAAGACGCATATACTTGGGGTTAATGTCTTCCTAAACCGTCCGAATCCTGCAATGCTAACAGAGGAAGGATTTTACCCTGAAGCCCTGTGCCCCTAAACCCCTAAACAAGCAGAGTGGATTACCGTGGCGCCCGTGACAACCAGCCCGTGCCCAACTGCAGTGAGAATACGAACCGAGAGACCTCATTTGGCGGAGTCCGAGTTGCGAGAGTGAGAGCGTAAACCCCTAGACTCTACACCCCAAACCCTATAAGCCCTAAACCCCAAGGCTCTACACCCTAAACCCTGTAAACCCTACAAAACCCCAAGGCTCTACACCCCAAGCCCTATAAGCCCTAAGCCCCTTAAGGCTCCACACCCTAAACCCAGTAAACCCTAAAAAACACCAAGGCTCTACACCCCAAGCCCTATAAGCCCTAAGCCCCTTAAGGCTCTGCACCCTAAGCCCTCCGCCCCAACTCGAGGAATACCGGGCCCTCAAACCTCCAAAAGGATATCGGGTTCATGGGGAGCCTTGAGAGCATGCCGTTGAGGTCACATCCGGCTGTTACGGAATTCAGGTTTAGGGAGGTCGGAGGGTGCAGGGCAGAATCAGTATGCCATGCATACCTTAAGAACCCAAAACCCACTTTTTTGTAGGGTCCCTATAAATCCCATATTAGGGTTTATAATCAGAACCTACAAAAAAAGTGGGTTTTGGGTTCTTAAGGTATACGTTAGCCAGGACTCTGTTCAACTTGCCTAAACCCGCTTCACAGGTGTCCGGAGTTTTCCGGGGAGGGTAAGTAGGATTCTGGGGTGGGTCTCAGTCTCGTGTTGCGTGTTTCGTCGACTACCATCACCCCAGCTTTGCCCTCAACACTACGCTCCTTATGCAGCCCCTATAACCCACTCTTATAACCGCCCATCAGACCCCTCATACCTGGGTACTGAGCGACCAGGTTTTTAAAGCAGGGTTAAAAGCAGGATAAGCCCAGGTTAGTTATAGCTTAGTGGCTGAGTAGGTAACCTTTAACCTTTTGGGGTATATATAATCCTACCATAATTGAAAAGATTAACCTTTTTTGGGCTAGGGTTTCCAGCCCCTAAGATAATAACTCTTTGCACTTGGAGGTTCATGGGTAGTTATACGTGGGGTTATAAGTCCCCTAGTATGGGTTATAGGTTATAGTTACCCCACTTATAACCCTACGCATAACTACCCATGAACCACCAAGTATGATCTCCTGCCTACTTCCCCGGATCCTCCGAGTCTTCGGAGCCCTTTCAGGTCTGCGCGCCGACATCAACTCCAGCATCCGCTCGGATGCCGTAGCTATCACCTCTTCGGCCAACACAGACCAGGACATGGGTTCTGGGGAAAGCTTGCTTTAGGGTTTGGGGTTTAGGGTTTTAGGGTCTAGGGTTTACGGTTTGGGGTTTGGGTTTAGGGTTGAGGCTTTATTTCAGTACTCTTCGTTCTAGGACATTTGCAGGTGGGTAGTTACCGTTAAAGGAGCCTTATAGAAGGTCTATATATCTTATGGAAGCCTTATAGAAGCCCTATAATACCCTAAGCTTCCCACCTGTAGTTTCCTTTAATTCGTCTTCTGATGATGGTGAGTGGTAGTGGTAATTATTGGTGTACCACCTCTTTGTTGGCTGGCTGTTGAAGTAGAAGCAGCATAGGCCTTACAAGAGAGGGTTAGTCGAGTGCGTAGTGGTCATGTTGAGCTGTACAGAGTTTACACCCCGAGTCCTTAAGCCTAAACCACAAACCTAAAGCCCCTGACCCGCAAACCCTAAACCCCAAACCCTAACACCTAAACCCCAAACCCTGAACAAAAGCAACCCAAGTCCAAGCAAAATCCCAAATCCTAAACGCCCGCCCACCTCTGTAGCTGGGCGGCGCGGTACCGGTCATTGCCCCAAACCACCTCTTTGCACGTGGTGCTATAAGGGCCTTAATAATTAGAGCAGGGTTTGGGGGGGATCCTTGTTACAATTACAGTTCAATATACTCCAAACCCTAATTGTTCTAATTAGCAAGGCTCTATATTAAGCAAGCTTGAAGAAAAGAGGAGAACCATGGAATGAGTTTAGAGCTAAGCCCAAAAAGGACTAGGTTTGGGTGGTTTGGCCGCCTCAGACGGTGTGGGGTGGGAGAGACAAAGGAAGAGGAATCGAGCTCAAGCGGCCAAACGTCATACTGCGATGCACTCGAGATTACCTTAATGGCTGAGTAGGTAACCTTTAACCTTTTGGGGTTTATAGAATCCTACCATAATTGAAAAGGTTAACCTTTTTTGGGCTAGGGTACTCAGCCCCTAAGACACTGTCGCAAGATATTCCCACTTATGCGCCACTCTACGGCAAACCTGAATAACCCTAAACCCCAAACCTTAAACCCAAAACCTCCGTGTCCCAGATCCCAGTGGCTGTCCTTTTGTCAGGAGTGGCCTATTGCAGGCCCCGTCAAAAAGCAGGCCTACCTGGATCTAGACATGGAGGCGCAAGGGTTTCGGCTTCAGGGCCCAGCGGCCTCGGTCTAGGGGTTTAGGGTTTAGGGTTTAGGGTTCAGGGGAAGATGATTGCAGGTCGAAGTCTGGCTACTTGGAGGTTCATGGGTAGTTATAAGTATGGTTTTTGAAACCCCTAATATGGATTATTATTATAGTTACCACTTATAACCCTATGTATGACTGCCCATGAACCTCCAAGTAGACTTGAGCCCAGTAGCAAAAAGGGGCCTTAACAGGATTACTTGAGATCACGCAGCGCTTCCCAGCTGATCAGCAGAGTCTTCGTTGAAAAAAGGTTTAGGGCCCAGGGTTTAGGGAAGCCGTGGGAGCAGTTCTGAGAAGGATTACCCCTGCACTGTTGGGAGATAACATAAGTCTTATGAGGTGTCTCCGTGGCTCGGGTAGTGCGAAGCCTACGCTTGAACCTTGCCAAGTCCCCTGAGTCCCCGAGAGAGTGATATAGCTTGGCTTGCGAAGTTCGGTCTTCATCCAAGAACCTTCAACCTGCAAGTTCACACGGTTTAAGGCTTACTAAGGGTTTAGGGTTTACGGTTTAGGGTTTAGGGTTTAGGGTCTTCGGGACATTTTCTAGTTTCACTTCTTGGACCCAAGAGGATCTTGTTTACGAATGTGTTTCTAGGTTGCATTGAAGTGCCAACCTCGCAGATTGCCTAACCCTAAAACCCTAAAGTCCTAAACCTAAAGCCTAAACCCTAAGCCCTAAAGCCCTAAAACCCTAAAGCCCTAAAACCCTGAACCCTAAAACCCTAAACCCTAAAACCCTAAGCCCTAAAGCCCTAAAGCCCTAAACCCTAAACCCCATACATACCTCTACCATCGAAGAGACCAGAACTCTGCTCTTCGGTTAATTCGACGCCAATCCTCCATTAGCCTTTCGTGACCAGACGGTCCCACGCTTCAGCCATAACCCGTGTTAATGGTTTAAGGTTTAGGGTTTAGGGTTTAAGGTTTAGGGGTTAAAGTTTAGGG